AAAATTCGCTTGGAAAGGATCTCTTGGCGTTCTCTTGAGAGGAGAGCCTTGGAATTCCATTGAAAATTTCTGGAGAATCTCCTTATTGTAGTTCCCCTTACAATTTTCTTGAAATACTTCTCAAAATTACCTGAAATGTCTAGTCAAATTTTATTGAAAATCTCTACAATTCTCCTCAATACTCATTTGAAATTCTCATCAGTATTCTGTAGCCAATACTTCGAAGTATCAGAATCCTCAAATTTTGTCCAAGTACAAGAACCATTTTTAAATACATATTTAAAATTCCTCATATTGGTAGCCTTTTTTTCTGTCATAAATTGCTGAAATCAATCAAAAATCAATCAATTTAGAATAATTTCGGAAAGTACTGGATAACTTCGGAAAAGTTCGAAATCACATCACAAATGTCTAGGATCACTTCGTAAAGTACTGAATCACTTTAAAAAAGTTTAGTATCACTTCGGGGGGAAGAACTGAATCACATTAGAAGTTCTAAACTACATCAGAAATGTCTGGAATCACGTCGTAAAGTACTAAATCACTTCAAAAAAGTTCGAAATTTCATCAAAAATCTCTGGAATTACTTCGTAAAGTACTGAATCACTTCAAAACAGTTTGGTATCACTTCGGAAAGAACTGACTCACATCAGAAAAGTTCTAAACTACATCAGAAATGTCTGGAATCACTTCTTAAAATACTGAATCACTTCAAAAAAAGTTCGGAATTCCATCAGAAATGTCTGAAATCACTTTGTAAAGTAATAGATCACTTCAAAACAGCTCGGAATCACTTTGGAAAATATTGAATCACTTCAAAAAAGTTCGGAATCACATCAGAAACGTCTGAAATCACTTCGTAAAGTACTGAATCACTTCAAAACAGTTCGGAATCACTTTGAAAAGTACTGAATCACTTCAGAAAAGTTCGGAATCACATAAAAACTGTCTGGAATCACTTCTTAAAGTAATGAATCATTTCAAAACAGTTCGGAATCACTTTGGAAAGTATTGAATCACTTCAGAAAAGTTCGGAATCACATCAGAAACGTCTGGAATCACTTCTTAAAATACTGAATCACTTCGGAAAGAACTGAATCACATCAAAAAAGTTCTAAAATACATCAGAAATGTCTGGAATCACTTTGGAATGTATTGAATCACTTCAAAACAGTTCGGAATCACTTGGGAAAGTACTGAATCACTTCAGAAAAGTTCTGAATCACATCAAAAACGTCTGAAATCACTTCGTCAAGTAATGAATCACTTCAAAAAAGTTCTAAATCCCATCAGAAATGTCTGGAATCACTTTGTAAAATAATGAATCACTTTAAAACCATTCGGAATCATTTTGTAAAGTACTGAATCACTTCAAAAAAGTTCGGAATCACATCAGAAATGTCTGGAATCACTTCGTAAAGTACTGAATCACTTCAAAAAAGTTCGAAAATCCATCAGACATGTCTGGAATCACTTCGCAAAGTAATGAATCACTTCAAAATGGTTCGGAATCACTTTGGAAAGTACTGGATCACTTCAGAACAGTTTGGAATCACATGAAAAACGTCTAGAATCACTTCGTAAAGTAATGAATCATATCAAAACAGTTCGGAATCAATCATATTGTCGAGCAGTTTTGGGACGACCTTCTACCAGCGATTTTACGGAAATTAAACAATCAATTCCAGATTTTTCAACCATTTTACAAATGAGACCATATTTTCTCGAGGATGTAGAAGAAAAAATATTAAAATATTGTTCCACGTTAAAGTTCGGGTGGTAGGAAACATCATTTTAAACTGCTCGAATGATGTGATCCATTACTTTAGAAAAGTTCGGAATCACATCAGAAACGTCTGGAATCACTTCGTAAAGTAATGAATCACTTCAGAACAGTTTGGAACCACTTCGGAAAGTACTGAATCACTTAAAAAAATTTCGGAATTCCATCAGAAATGTCTGGAATCACTTCATAAAATAATGAATCACTTCAAAAAAGTTCGGAATTACTTTGGAAAGTACTGAATCACTTCAAAAAAGTTCGGAATTTCATCCGAAATGTCTGGGATCACTTCGTAAAGAACTGAATCACATCAAAAAAGTTCTAAACTACATCAGAAATGTCTGGAATCACTTCGTACAGTACTGAATCACTCCAAAAAAGTTCGGAATTCTATCAGAAATGTCTGGAATCACTTCGTAAAGTAATGAATCACTTCAAAACAGTTCGGAATTCCATCAGAAATGTCTGGAATCACTTCGTAAAGTAATTAATTACTTCAAAACAGTTCGGAATTCCATCAGAAACGACTGGAATTATTTCGTAAAGTAATGAATCACTTCAAAACAGTTCGCAATCACTTCGGAAAGGACTGAATCACGTCAGAAAAGTTTGGAATCACATCAGAAACGTCTGGAATCACTTAAAAAAAAAGTTCGGAATCAGAAATATCTGGAATCACTTCGTAAAGTAATTAATCACTTCAAAACAGTTCGGAATTCCATCAGAAACGACTGGAATCACTTCGTGAAGTAATGAATCACTTCAAAACAGTTCGCAATCACTTCGGAAAGAACTAAATCACGTCAGAAAAGTTTGGAATCACATCAGAAACGTCTGGAATTACTTCTTAAAGTACTGAATCACTTCATAAAAGTTCTAAACTACATCAGAAATGTCTGGAATCACTTCGTAAAGTACTGAATCACTTCAAAAAAAGTTGGGAATTCCATCAGAAATGTCTGAAATCACTTGGAAAAGTAATGGATCACTTCAAAACAGTTCGGAATCACTTTGGAAAGTACTGAATCACTTCAGAAAAGTTCGGAATCACATCAGAAACGTCTGGAATTACTTCGTAAAGTACTGAATCACTTCATAAAAGTTCTAAACTACATCAGAAATGTCTGGAATCACTTCGTAAAGTACTGAATCACTTCAAAAAAAGTTGGGAATTCCATCAGAAATGTCTGAAATCACTTGGAAAAGTAATGGATCACTTCAAAACAGTTCGGAATCACTTTGGAAAGTACTGAATCACTTCAGAAAAGTTCGGAATCACATCAGAAACGTCTGAAATCACTTCGTAAAGTACTGAATCACTTCAAAACAGTTCGGAATCACTTTGGAAAGTACTGAATCACTTCAGAACAGTTCGGAATCACATAAAAAATATCTGGAATCACTTCTAAAAGTAATGAATCACTTCAAAACAGTTCGGAATCACTTTGGAAAGTATTGAATCACTTCAGAAAAGTTCGGAATCACATCAGAAACGTCTGGAATCACTTCTTAAAATACTGAATCACTTCGGAAAGAACTGAATCACATCAAAAAAGTTCTAAACTACATCAGAAATGTCTGGAATCACTTCGTAAAGTACTGAATCACTTCAAAAAAAGTTCGGAATTCCATCAGAAATGTCTGAAATCACTTTGTAAAGTAATTGATCACTTCAAAACAGTTCGGAATCACTTTGGAAAGTACTGAATCACTTCAGAAAAGTTCGGAATCACATCATGTTTTCCCAGGTTTTTCCAGGATTTTCCAGGGAAAAAATCACGAATTTGAAAAAAGTAAAGATTGGATTCACTCAGTCTATTGGTACTACTCCGAGACTGAATAAAATTTTCGTCAATTTCCTCATTTTCCGGCAGATTTTGTAGGTTTTCCACAGGAAACTTTGAGAAAATTTTTACTCATCGCTGAGTTCCTGCACTTTTGGCGATTATGAGTGAACTAAACTCAAATTTGGGTCGTTCTCAGTACAGCATAAATCTGAAAATTGACAGTTTACAATTTTTAATTCGATATTTTCCAAATTAACGGGGTCCGGATTATCGAGTCGTTGGATTAGCGGTGGGATACTGTAGTACATTGCATTACAAGCTATTTGGAGCTGAAGTAAACATCAGACTTCGTTACAATACGACCATTTCTGAAACAGAACCTAGTCAAATCGTGTGCAAAACTCTTGATAGAGCTGGAATCAGGGCGTAACAGCTTTTGTAAACAATGACTTCTCTCGATGATTTCTCGAAACTCAAGGCACGCCCACGCAAACCAACATAATCAACGGGAAGGGGAAGTCTTACTCTACCCGATGGTGTCGTTGATTTGAGTGGGCGAGCCTTGGCTTTCTAGAAGTCATTGTTTACAAAAGCTGCTACGCCCTAATTCCAGCTCTATCTAGAACTAACAAAATAAATTTGTGGAGCACCACGCCACCGCATTTCCCGTTACGTCGGCAATTGGTGGCTGATGTTCTAGTTATAATTTCTGAATCTTGGTCGGAACAGCCAGCCTGCAGCTAGCGATGTGCTCTCAATATACAATTGCATAATATGAGTAGAATGCATATACAGTATTCCCTCCATATATGCGATGAGTGGTACCGTCCACCCACCGCTATCGCTCGGCTGTCCTTCAACTAATTGAGCTGATTTTTTGTAGATAACTACTTTATGGTTGACACTAACGACATACAAAAAATCAACGTAATTGGCTGAAGGCCAAACGGACGGTACCACCCACCGCATATATGGAGGGAAAACTGTACATACAAAATACGTACGTTTCCTTCTACAGCGTGGGTGGCATGGCGGTACTTACACCCAGAATCGTTGCTAAATGCAACAAGCTGGAGAAGGGGAGGGAGAACAAACGACAAACAATTCGATTCCCTTTATGATTTTAACTATTGGAATGGTATTACAATGTCATGCCACACGATCGGTTCGGTTCGTTAGTCATCAGAAGCCATACAATATTCTGATGCATTCGAACACGTCGACCAGCCTACTGCATAAGGGGTGGAACATTGTTTCCGCGAATAAGGCTTCCTCTATTTCCATCGTCTTACATACGTCAGCTGGGTGGTGCTAGCAAAGTTTGTGTTTAATAATTGAAATCCTTCGAGAAGACCCTGTCCTATTTCCGATCTATGTAAATAAAATCATCAATCAAAAGTTAAAATTGTTCTCTCTTATTTCTTCTACAGACTCACGTTGACGAATCATTTGTGCTGATGGAACGAAGCAGTTCCTGTTGATGAGAAAGTGCGACTACCAACACTGGAATTCACCCCGTGCAAAGCGGTGTGGTGGTGCAGCAGCGCAGTTGCATTTGCTGATTTGTGTTAGTTGCAAATAGGCATTGTACACGATATATCGCTGTGGTCAGTGTGGAGAACAAATACGATTGCATTGTGAACTACAGTAGTACAGTTACCTACAAACGAAGTGCTCCAGCAAACTCAAGTGCGTTCCGGGTTAGTGCAGTTTTGCAACTCATTTGTAAGTAGCGTGCGACATCCTTGACAATACAGTAGTGCAGGCGAATTATGGTGATGACGATGGTAATTATGATGTAACTGGCAGTTGAAATGTCGTTGTCTATGGAAGAATGAAAACACAGTACTCATAAGTGTACTAGAACAAAACAGTAGTGTTGTATGCCTGATAGGAAATTAAGGTCGCCTGGAAGCGTTCGTGAGAAAATAGTGAATCTAACGAATATGCGCTTACTGCTGCTAGTGGATCCAACCTGAAATTATTTTCTCACACACTACAAACGATAGTCTTTGAAGTGAAGAGTGTCTTCGCGTTCTGATCATCCTAAGGAGCACTGGTGACACGTGAAATTCTGACCTTGAACGGCAGACGACCAAGAGTTGTACAAGTAAGTAGATATTGAACCATCTCCCCGCATACTAAAATTATCAAATACATACTCAAATTGTTCTTTTCACGGCAATAAAATCACGACACACGACAGTCTCTGGGGTCAGTTCATGTGCTTACAGACTTCCCTTCTTTCTCTCCTTCACAGTGGGAATGACCAAGCAGCAGAGCTTGGTTCATCAGCAAAAATCCGTCAATTCGATAACGGCCGGAATTGGCAGTGGTGGTACTGGTTCATCGACCGCTGCCCTGAGACAGCAGCACCAGCAGCGTCAAAACCAGCATCAACAAAAGCATACCATTCATTGGTTTCGCAAAGGTTTGCGTCTCAATGACAATCCGGCACTGCGCGAAGGACTGAAAGATGCCGCCTCCTTCCGGTGTGTGTTTGTGATCGATCCCTGGTTCGCGGGAAGCTCCAACGTCGGCATCAACAAATGGCGGTGAGTGTCGTTATACTTTCTTTTCGTGTTTGGTAGGTTTTAACGTGGCATCTGGCTGACGTTCTTTCGGGTGGATTCAGGTATATATCTCAAAAAAGGGAGGCTAAAAATTATGGTATGTTTTGAGTTTGCCTCCGACTTAGAGGCATGTCCTAAAAATCTTGAGAGTAAGTTGAATTAAATGTTTAGGATTAAATTCAGTGCACCTCAGGGAGGGGTAGTTCCTAGGCATCAAAGGCGGAATCTGAAGTGTCCCATAACTAAATTTTGTAAATATCGAGTTCTAGGTTAAATTCAACAAACCTGGAAAACTCATATGTCTACTTGACCTCAGTCGATGATTTTGAAATTGTGACTTATTTAGACACAGTGTGGAACACTTGGTCTAAAGTGAAAGATTAGTAATTTTTGTACAATGTTCAAATCGATTTGCAGTCTTTGGCAAAGTTGTATAGTATTCTCAATCTATGTCGGAGAATTGGTGAAATTTGAGTAATGTTTGGATTTTTGGTAAGCAAATTAATAGGATCGTTCCATATATTCTCCCACATAGAATTTATAACCATTTTCGTTCGAACTTTGCACAATGTTTGGGGACCTCCATACGCATTGAAAGAGCAACAGGTTGTAAAGTCGACTCACCTTAATATATAGGTATATTAATCAAAGTAATTAGCAGTTCCGGTAAATGTTTTCCGCGAAATGGGTCAGTTCGGGAATTTTTTTCCGGGAGTTGGGTCATTCAGCCAAATGATTTTCCATGGACTGCAGTGTCCGCGAAATGATTTCCGGGAAATGGTATAGAATCAATCTGCCATGCTTGTTTTGAGCTTCATAAGACTGATCCTATGAAAATCACGAGTCTAGTTTCCTGAATGTACGATTTCAATTTTGCCAGATTAACGATTTAACAAAATAGGTAAGCGCAATATTATTGTGGTTTCAGACAGCTCCTTCCTGTATCTAAATTCGCCAGTGGTCATTGTTCTTGTGCAGCTAGACCACATCTTGTGTTAGGTCATATAATACATTATACCCGTACAGACACTGTTCCAGGTCTTTCAATGTACTCTATCGCACTTACATTCATCGTTTACGGACGCTTCTTTAAGACATAACGTAGGGTAAATGTTGGCTTCGGCACCCATTGACTGTTTTCGGCAACCAAAATTTAAACGTTAATTTTACTATGTTTTCCCATCAACGCACTTCCCTGAATGTGTTTAAACGATTGTTTAGCCTTTCAGCTTCAATCTGATTATATTTGAACGATCGAGCAATCCAGTAATGCTACATTTTTCTTCAAATAAAGCATACGCACTACAAAATGAGGTTGATTTCGAGTTGCCGATAATAGAACAGCTGGTTAACACGCAGTTCTAATGGGAAGGTTGCCGAAGAAAAAGAGACTGCCGACAATAGTCACACTCACCTGAGAAGTTTGGAGCGTTGTAAAAACGCTTTCAAAACGTTTTGAAAAAATCTGTCGATTGGAATGGATAGAGAAGCAAGCAGCAGATGAATGTAAACAAACAGACACATCATATATGTGCGTGGCGCTGAGAAAATGCTAGTAGAAGTGCAGACGCTGCTTAGATTGACGAGAATACGTAAATTCCCCTATAACATCATCGCATCGTCGTTCGCAACCTTCCTGTGTCTGTGTGAACGGGGGTGATTATTCATACTCTGTGTAGTCAGTCACGTGTTTTACAATGTGAACTATGTACACTGCTGTTGTAACAGAAAGGCGCCAAATGAACGCAAACACAAAACTCCGGTCCCCCTCTTGAAGTTGTCTCTTTGGATACGACTAGGTATAATGGCGATGAACAAGAAGAGGGGTTGAATCACTTTAAGCCCATTTCATAATCGAACGTCGTAATTAATTTCAGATTCCTGCTGCAGTGCCTGGAGGATTTGGATCGAAATCTGCGGAAGCTGAACTCGCGTCTGTTCGTGATCCGAGGTCAACCGGCCGATGCGCTACCGAAGTTGTTCAAAGAATGGGGCACCACCTGTCTTACGTTCGAGGAAGACCCGGAGCCGTTTGGCAAGGTGCGCGATCACAACATTTCCGAAATGTGCAAAGAACTAGGCATTGAAGTTATCTCGGCCGTGTCCCACACGCTGTACAAATTGGAAAAGTAAGCTTATATTTTGGGTTTTGATCGTCCGATTATATTCAATCATTCCTCAATTTCCAGGATAATCGAAAAGAACGGTGGTCGTGCTCCGCTCACCTACCATCAGTTCCAGGCCATTGTCGCCTCGATGGATGCACCGCCCCAGCCAGAGCCAGCCATAACGTTGGACACAATTGGTAATGCAACAACGCCACAGTGCGACGACCACGACGACAAATACGGAGTTCCTACGCTGGAAGAGTTGGGTTTCGAGACGGATGGCCTCAAGCCACCCATCTGGGTGGGAGGTGAAACGGAAGCCCTGGCCCGCCTGGAGCGCCACCTCGAGCGCAAAGCCTGGGTGGCATCGTTCGGGCGGCCCAAGATGACTCCCCAGTCGCTGCTTGCTAGTCAAACGGGCCTCTCGCCCTATCTACGCTTCGGTTGCCTTAGTACCAGACTGTTCTACTACCAGCTGACAGATCTGTACAAGAAAATCAAAAAAACCTGCCCACCGCTCTCGCTGCACGGTCAGCTACTATGGCGAGAGTTTTTCTACTGTGCTGCAACGAAAAATCCAAACTTTGACAAGATGGCCGGCAATCCCATCTGCGTGCAGATTCCGTGGGACCGGAATGCGGAAGCCCTGGCCAAGTGGGCCAGCGGACAGACGGGCTTCCCCTGGATTGATGCCATCATGACGCAGCTCCGGGAGGAAGGTTGGATTCATCATCTGGCACGTCACGCGGTTGCATGCTTCCTGACACGTGGCGACCTATGGATTTCGTGGGAGGAGGGAATGAAAGTATTCGAGGAGCTGCTGCTCGATGCCGACTGGTCGGTGAATGCGGGAATGTGGATGTGGCTGTCGTGTTCGTCATTCTTTCAGCAGTTTTTCCATTGCTATTGTCCGGTTAAGTTCGGTAGGAAGGCCGACCCGAACGGGGACTACATACGGCGGTATCTGCCCGTGCTGAAGGTAAGTTGAAGAGCAGTTGCTCTGTGATGTTTGAATTGTTTCACAAAGCTACGGTGGCGGGGAGCGAAAAGGTCACCAACAATGAAGCCATAGGATGGGAAAACTTGATGCGCAAATATGCCGAGCTCAAAAGAAATTGGGTTTTGTCCCGTGGTGTATATAGAAGTTGTATGATTTGAACCGAGGTCGTCCTTAAAAGTAAGAGTAGTAAAGGGTAGAAATACTCAGAGGGAAAGATGGGAGGAGTAAACAAAATTCAATTCGGGAGCAAGGTTTTGTGTATAGGGTGGGATGGTGCAAAACTCACCGTTTAATCGACAATTGCTGGCATATGGATGCTAAAATTAAGGAGAAAATAATGGTGTATGGTCCATTACTATGTTTTCTACGAAGATCGAGTGATTTCTCATGACCTTCAAGGTATTTTTTGAATCGATTCCAAAATGCTAGCGGGGCAAAACGCCTGATTCATGGTCCAATATGCACCACAACATTCGGGCAAGACGCTCAACAACAATGGACAAAACGCATCACAACATTGGGGTAAAATGCACCGCTTGACATGTATTGCACAAAATACATTTTTTTTTAAATAATCAGTATGTCAATGTATGATTTCATCACCACCATCAGATGAAAATACGCACAATCCACTACCCGGAAAAAGCATCTGAGGAAAAGTCATAGTTTTTTTTTTCTACAAGTGGGCATTTTACCCCAGGGGTGCATTATGGCCTGTTTTCCCCGGGAGCAGGACATTTCACCGAAGGACGTTTCGTCGAAGGTCATTTCGCCGAATGTGTCGTTTCACCGAAGAGTAAGCCATTTTCTTCGGTTTTGAACTTTTCTCAAAGCTAAGTAAATTTTTAAATCAGTCCCGAAAAATGATTAAGAAGGTTCGATTTTTTCAACCTGTTCAAGTTCTTTCGAAATTTTCTAAATAATAAACATATTTGATTTTTAGGAATGCTTCCCTCTGTTAAACTCAAAAAAATAATTCATACTTAGGCTCTTTTTTCTTTTTATAATCAATTCGAGATAGAGCAGGAATTAGGGCGTAACAGCTTTTGTAAACAATGACTTCAATCGATGATTTCTAGGAATTCAAGGCACGTCCACGCAGACCAACCTAACCATCGGATAGGGGAAGTCTTTCCCTACCCGATGAGGATGTTGGTTTGCGTGGGTGAGCCTTAAATTTCTAAAATCATTAAGAGAAGTCATTGTTTACAAAAGATGTTAGGCCCTAATTCCAGCTCTATCTAAAATTGTTTCATTATCAAGAGCATACATTACTTTTTAACAAGGGCATGTGTTCATCATGTGTCAATCAATCATATATTTTGTTCATTTTAAACCGAGGAACAAATATCCCATTGGTTACTATGGAAACATAAAACAATCATGATATTAAAAGGTTAAAAACTGCAGCATCCTGCTTATGTTATCTAGAAACATCAATAAGGTTGCTTTACATCTATTATTTTAACGAGTTCCAAATTCATTTTAATTGTACATGGATTCATGATTAAAATTCGGCGAAATGACCCATTCGGCGAATTGTCCTTCGGCGAAATGTTCTTCGACGAAACGTCCTTTGGCGAAATGACACTGCCCCGTTATCCCCTACATCATTTTGGTGGCAATTACCGATGCTGTACTAGATATGCTACATACTAGGTAGACATTGAAACAATCGTAATAGACCGATTCTAATGCTGCTTTGTATCATTGCTAATTTCAGAACTTTCCAACTCGCTACATCCACGAACCGTGGAACGCTCCGGAGACTGTCCAGCGGACATCAAAGTGTGTCATCGGCAAAGACTACCCCCTACCGATGGTGAACCACGCAATCGCAAGCCGAGCCAACATGGAACGCATCAAGCAGGTCTACCAACAGTTGGCCAAATACCGCAGCCCAAGCAGCAGCTTCGATAGCGAGTGTCCTGAGAAGGGTGGTTCAGCAATAGCCGGTGTCATGACCCCGGCCAAGGTGCAGCATATGCATGCAACCAGTTTTAACGATAGCCCTAGCCCAACGACCATTATGACCAATTTGAACAGCTCTGGAAACTACATGTGTCGACCGAATACACCAGCACAACTTGATCGGAATGATAAAATCATCACCTACCATCAGAACCGCGGTTTGATGAGCGACAGAGAATCGCAACAACTGTCGCAATCCCAACATCAGCAGCACCAACAACATCAGCTCCAACGGCAGCAGCAGCAGCAACATGCGGTAGGTCATCAACCTACCGGCAACGATCGGTATAATAACCTCCTATCGTCGCAAAGTTCCGCATACGTCACGATCAAACCGGAAAGTCCTAACATGACTATTAGCAACAACAATAACGATCTCATGAATGCGCACTTCACCACATTGCAAGATCAAATGAATCACAGCATGATCCCGCTAGGCAACACCGGTACCAAGCTCGAAACGAACAGTTTCGAGTACGAACGGAATCAGGAAAATCTCTACAACAACCAGTTCAAAGTGGAATACTCGGATAACTACAACTCCGGATATGGCATGCGAAATGCCGATTTTTATGGCCGGGGACACGAAGACGAATCGGTAGAACAATCCTCGGTGCCGATGAAGACATCGCCGGAATCCAAGTACCAATCGTCTCCACTGATTCAACCGGCAAGCCTTCCGCAAGTCAAGCAGCTGGGCGAAAACCAGATGTATCTCCATCACCACCCTCACGTCTACAATCATCTGACCAATCACCAACAGCGTGGTTCACTGGCGGACAATCACCGAAGGCAGCAGCAGCAACCACAACGTATGCAACAGTCGCCGATCAGTGAAGAAAAACTTACGCCCGGTGACTAGGAACACAACCGGTCGGGACCGGCTGCAGCAACGTGCGAAAGTGGAAAAGGGAGTGTGACTTCCTTATTAATTAGCAAGTCTGTTTCGATTTCTATATATAGAGCTAAGCCTGAAGAATATGTGGGCTGCGGTGGAGTGCAGATGTTCAACAATGTAGAGTCGCTAGAGGTTTGGAGATGCTGCCGCTGTCGCGGCTAGACGTTGGCTCTGAAGAATATATCATTTTTTGCAGAAAAAAATACTACTGTGGCCATTTATCCGAAAATCCTTGACGAAATAAAGTCGTGGGTGTTCCGGCATCAGAATATTCGCTTATAGGCAGGAAGAGCGGAGCGATAAGGCTGAGCGGGTCACGATTGAAATATATATAAATAGCTAGGTATAATAAATTTTAGATTTACCTCTCAAAATTCAAGCTGAACAATGCATTAGGTTCAAACTGTTTTTATGTTACTTCATACGCGAAGTTTGCGATTTTCAGAGTTGGTTGGGAGTGCTATCTAACATGAAGCTTTTAGTGTGATAATTTGTAAGCTAGAGAATGATCTTAGAAGAGGGTAGGTAGACAGTTCCGTAGTGTGCGTAGTAATGAAAACGTCGCTAGAACTATTCCACAGCCGCACGCAGTATTTGAGTAAAGTCAGACGCACACTTTTTGCCTGTAGATTTTCAAGGCATACTTCAAATCTCTGCGTACATCGTACGGGTTAGGCAACGAGTGTGCGTTTGACTTGTACTGTCGCATTAATGGCCCTTCGCTCATATTCTACTTTTATTCAATTTTTATACTGCCGTACTCTAACGGAACCATCTATCTACCCTCTTCTAAGATCATTCTCTAGCTAATAAATTATCCCACTAAAAGCTTTTTGTTAGATAGCATTTCCAACCAACTCTGAATGCATTAGGACCTAAGTAACATCCATCGATTCTTTTCATGGACTTTCTCTTTCGTTGAAAACTTGTGAACAGAACCGTTTCTTTTCGTGTTTGTCGTATTAGAAGATAGATAAAAGCTTCTTTCATCGATATGTGTGCTAAAAATAGCTGGAAATGTTTTAACATGGCCCTTAGGATGCAAAGAGAAAGTCGACCAAGATAATCTGTTAATGTTACTTAGGACCTAATGCATTGTTCAGCTTGAATTCCATAAAACTTCGCATAATTGTTCATTATTGACAATGAACCAAGTTTGTACTGGAATTCAGCCATTTTAATTCTCGCCTTCTGATTTTTCATCCAGGCGCTAATGGACATCTTGCCATGCCTCATCTGGATATCTGAAACCTGAATCCGGTAGGGCCCCAAAAGGGACACTTCTAAAACCTCAAGTACTAGAAGCGTCCGATGGCTCAACATTTATGATTTTTCATCCAGAAGTAAATAGACATCATGCCATGGACCAACAGGTGGATTTGGCCACATCCGGTACCCAGACCCGATTCCAGAAGGGTAACATTTATGATTTTTTATCCAGTAGTAATTAGACATCATACCATGGACCAACAGGTGAATCTGGCCACATCTGCATAACCGGAACCGGTTTCGGCAGGGCCCCGTAGAAGACAATTCCTAACCCTCATGCAGTGGTATCGTCCGGCGGCTTAAAATTTATGATTTTTCAACCATAAGTAAATAAATATTATGCGATGGACCAACAGGATCTGTCCATATCTGGATACCCGGAACCGGTTCCAGCAGGGTCCAATAAAAATGGTGAAAAATCGTAAACTTTGAGCCGTCGGACGGTACAAGTACATGAGATTTTAGAAGTGTCCTTTTGTGCCCTATCGGAACCGGTACCAGATAGCCTAAATGGCCAAAAATGGAGAAATCCTGGGCAGGGTGTCACTCTACGAACGTTCATCTTCGGTACAGCTTCCTAATGAAAATGATTTTGAGCTTCTAGAGGCGTAACAACTTCTTAATTCGATTGATTTTGAACTTCCAAAGGTGCAACAGCTTCCCAACAACAGCCACAATTTCTTATTGAAAATGATTTAAAACTTCTAAAGGCGCAACAGCTTCTTAATGAAAATGATTTTCAGCTTCTAAAGGCGAAACAGATACTTAATCAAAGTAATTTTAAGTTGCTAAATGCGGAACAGCTTCTTAATGAAAATGATTTGAAACTTCTAAAGGCGCAACAGCTTCTTAATCCTAATGATTTTTAACTCCTGAAAGCGTAACAGATTCTAAATACAAATGATGTTAAGCTTGTAAAGGCGCAACAGCTTCTTGATTAAAATCATTTTGAACGTCTAAAAACGCAACAGCTTCTAAAACAAAATGAGTTTGAGCTTCCAAAGGCGCAACAGATTCTCAATCAAAATGATTTTCAGCTTCTAAAGGCGCAACAAATTGAAAACGATTTAAAACTTCCAAAGGCGCAACATCTTCTTAATCCAATTGATTTTGAGCTTCTTCATGGGAATGATTTTGAGCTTCTAAAGGTGAAACAGCGTCTTAATAAAAATGATTTTGAGCTTCTAAAGGCGTAACAACTTCCTAATGAAAATGATTTTCAGCTTCTGAAGGCGAAACAGATTCTTAATCAAAGTGATTTTAAGTTGCTAAATGCGGAACAGCTTCTTAATGAAAATAACTTTCAACTTGTAAAGGCGCAACAATTAACTTCCAAAGGCGCAACACTTCTTAATGGAAATGATTTGAAACACCTAAAGGCGCAACATCTTCTTAATTAAATCATTTTGAACTTCTAAAGCCGCAACAGCTTCTAAAACAAAATGAGTTTGAGCTTCTGAGCGCAACAGCTTCGTAATTAAAATCATTTTGATCTTCTAAAGACGCAACAGCTTCTAAAACAAAATGAGTTTGATCTTTCAAAGGCGCAACAGCTTCTTAATCCAATTGATTTTGAGCTTCTAAAAGTGCAACAGATTCTTAATGAACATGATTTTGAGCTTCTAAAGGCGCAACAACTTCTTAATGACAATGAATTAAAACTTCTAAAGGCGCAACACCTTCTTAATGAAAATGATTTTAAGCTTCTAAAGTTGAAACAGATTCTTAATTAAAGTGATTTTAAGTTGCTAAAAGCGGAACAGCTTCTTAATTAAAATGATTTTCAACTTGTAAAGGCCCAACAATGAGCTTCCAAAGGCGCAACAACTTCTTAATGAAAATGATTTGAAACATCTAAAGGCGCAACAGCTTCTTAATTAAAATCATTTTGATCTTCTAAAGACGCAACAGCTTCTAAAACAAAATAAGTTTGAGCTTCCAAAGTGTTATATCCGTAACCAAGGCCAACAAGTAAAACAAGCTGATGTTAAGAGCTGCTATTTATTACGTCTATCTTGGTTGGTGGTCGGATAAAGAATGAAGGCCTACTACATCTTCCCCTTTTAGAAAATGTCATAGGTAGAGAGCCATCTTGGAATTCTTGATTCTCGTACAGAACGTCGAATAAAGTCTCCAACTGCTTCAGATGACAAGGGCTTTTGTGCGGACTGAAGTTCTCCATCTTGAGCAGCAGGTTCATGATCGATTGTCGAAAAAGGATTTTCGCCAGACGTACTTTCCACTTGACCTTCAGCTTCGAGTGATACGGAACCAACAGGAATAGGGACATCGTGATTGAATGGCACTTCTGGATCCAACGGTACAGCTTCATCTTGAATTTCATCAAGCAGGATTTCCCATGGTAGTTGCTGCGTCGCTTGCTCTGGATCATCAGAAGTGTGACGAGGGTGCATTTGGTTTACATGCGACCTCACCAGCTTCGGTCTCCCGTTGATGTCCAGTGCAACTATATAGTTGACGGAACCTTTCCGTTCGATGACTCGACCAGGAATCCAGGACTTGGCGTTTCTGCAATGCTGTTCAACGTAGACCAGGTCATCTTCTTCAAACTCGCGCTTGACTGCTCCATGCCGCCAATTGAACTGTTCGTTTTGTTTGTGGTTCTTGACAGCTTCAGTTACAGGAACAGGTTTCTTCAGTAGGTCCAAAGTGGTGCGCACTGGTCTTCCGAGGAATGCTTCTGCTGGAGACGTCGACTGCGGTGTGTTTCGGTTTGGGATTGAACGATACACCGAAAGGAATGTCTGCAGGTGCTCCAGTGTGGGTGATCCTTCCCCCTTGGCTAGCTTCTTGAGGCCACGCTTGAGTGAATCAACGAATCGCTCCGCTTGGCCGTTGGACTGCGGGTGGTAGGGAGCAGTGCGGAGATGGGTGATACCATTTGCACGGCAAATTGCTCGCTGGTGAATTGCGTTCCGTTGTCTGAGACCAATGTGTCTGGGTTGCCGTAACGAGAAAACGTTTCACGCAGCATATTCAGGGTTGCAGTTGTGGTAATGGATTGAGTGCGAAAAATGTCGGGCCACTTAGAGAAAGCATCTACCATGACGAAATAGTAGTATCCATGGATCGGACCAGCAAAATCGATATGGACACGTTGCCATGGCTTGTCCGGGAGAGGCCATGACTCCAAGGTTGCTTTTGTCGGGGACTTCGCTGCTTCAGCACATGCAGTGCACTGACGGACAAATTGCTCCACATCGTCGTCAACGTTAGGCCAGTAGATGTAACTTCGGGCCAGAGACTTCATTCGGTCCATTCCTGGGTGTCCACGATGCAGTTGACGAACGATCCGCTTTCGAAACTTTGATGGGACGTCGATTCGATCGCCGAACAGAACGCAGTTGTCGACAACTTGTAGTCCATCTCGTCTGGCGAAGAACTTCTTGACATCAGGACCAGCAACTTGCTTCGCATTTGCTGGCCAACCTTCGTTAAGGAAATTCACCACTTGCTGAAGAACTGGATCCTTTCGCGTCTCAGCCACAATCATCTGGTGCGTGACTGGAAGGTTGCTGATAGTGTCGTCGAGAATTGCTTTTGCTTCAGATTCGACGCACACGGCGGAGTGAAGTAACGTGCTCCAGCTAGTTCCGCAAAGAGGTCGTCAGGATGAGGCAGTGGATGATGGTCACATTCTAGCGCGTTGTTCAGCCCCGTCGAATAATGGCCACATGCACGGACTGATACATTGTCCGACTTACGTACGACGACTATTGGTGCTGCCCAGTCCGAGAATTGAACTGGAGAAATTATACCGTTTTGCTGGAGCCTCTAAAGTTCTGCGTCCACCTTGGCGAGTGCAGCGTACGCTACTGGCCGTTTCGGGCAATATGCAGGACGTGCGTCAGGCTTGAGGTACAACTTCACTTGCGCTTTTGTGCATCTACCCAAGGTGCTTCGAAAAACTTCCGGAAACTGTTGCTTGAGTTGATTGGTGAACTGATCAGAACGTTGGTGTACGACGTTGACCAAGCTGCTTATCGGCACAGACCACAAATCGAACAGATCCATAGTCTCGATTCCTAGAACGTTGAGTTCAGCGCTGCTTGAGATGAAAATGCGACCAGTCTTGGTAACATTCTTGATGGTGATCTCGGTCTGGAACTCAGCGAGAAGGTTGAGATTGCCTCCAGAAGCTGTAACTGCAGATTCTTCCGTCGGTTGAGTGGGTGGCTGTCCGATGCTGATCCATGTTTCTTCTGAGATTATGGTGATGTCGGACGCCGAGTCGTGTTGAAGTTTGACTGCTACACCATTGAGCTCGACCGGGATGAACTTCCGCTTGCTTCCGATGTTGCGAACCGTGTAGATGCTTTTTGTCTTCACGTTCTCTTTGGATTTGGCCTGTTTGAACGGTTTCGACGGCGCATTCTTGTTGCTGTTGCAATAACCTTCCTTGTGTCCTTGTTGCTTGCATCTGGAACAGGTGTGCGAAGCGAACGGACACTCACGAACATAGTGCTGGTCGCCACACTTCCAACATGGCGTTTTCGGCACTTTTTGGTTCTTTTTTGAGGCAGGATTATTCTGGTTGCGAGAAACAATGTTGACGTTGCGTGCTTCTTTGTTCTCCACCATCAATGTGTCCTGCTTGAGATTGGCCACGCGATGGCATTCTTCCACGAGGTTCTCCAGGGTTACCTCGTTGGTGGCTTCTCCCAATTCGTTGACTGCGGTTTCGTCGGCTTCCAATTTCGAGATCAACCTAGCTCGTATGTCCGCATCCCGTGGCGATTGGAGTCCACAGACGAAACGGAGAGCTTTGAATTGGTCCGGTGTGAGCTTGGACAGCTGAAACGCTTCACAGTGTTTGTTCACCATGGCAGCATACGATGTGAAGTCATCCGCGTCACTTTTTGCATACTGGAGGCACTGGTAACGTGGGAATGAAAAACCGACTTCTGTCGACCGAACAGTTTCTTCAGTTTCGTGACGGTTTCGTCCAGGGTGAAGTCCCGGGGATGCTTGGGAAGAATGGTGTTGACGTACTTCTCGTGCAGAGGCGTGCTTAACTTGCGAAGAAGCAATCTCACACGAGCGGCGTCATCCAGGGATTGGCCGTCCTTTGTAAAGACATCCTCGTACCTCGCATACCAGCCATCGAAGAAAACTCCTCCGTCCGGATCGTACTGGAAATCCTGGATCCCGCTTGCCAAGGACTCAATAATCTTCTCACTGCCAGCAGTCGGATTTCCCCGATTTTCCAGGTTTTCAATCTGCTGCTGCTGCCTCGTGATGAGATTCGTTAGCTGCAGGATGGCGTTCCGAAGATCCTCGTCAGACATTTTCTTGCTTGAGGTTTCTTGCTTCGAGGTTCGAGGTGCTTCCAAAATTTTCCTCGTCGCCAATTGTTATATCCGTAACCAAGGCCAACAAGTAAAACAAGCTGTTGTTAAGAGCTACTATTTATTACGTCTATCTTGGTTGGTGGTGGGATAAAGAATGAATCTCTAACTTATGACAGTCAGGCAAGACCTACTACATCTAGGCCTACTATACAAAGGCGCAACAGCTTCTTAATCCAATTGATTTTGAGCTTCTAAAAGTGCAACAGATTCTTAATGAACATGATTTTGAGCTTCTAAAGGCGCAACAGCTTCTGAATCAACATTGTTTTGAGCTCCTAAAGGTGCAACAGATTCTTAATCAAAATAATGTTGAGCTTCTAACGGCACAACAGTTTCTTAATCAACATGATTTTGAGCTTCTAAAGGCGCAATAGCTTCTTAATGTAAATATTTTTAACTTCTAAAGGCGCAACAGATTCTTAATCAAAATGTTTTTGAGCTTGTAAAGGCGCAGATGAAAATTCATGTTTCTACCTTATAAAAACAATCAAAATAATTGTACGATTATCGTAGGTCATTATGAATACTCAAGACTGCATTGGTGACCTCCGGATATGTCTAGGGTACCCCGGGGATGCTCCTTGATTTGCTGAGTACCAATGCTACCGACGCCAGGGAGGCAGCTTCCACAACTGAACCCTACCCTATCGACTCATCAACTCATGGACCGGGGACCAACAGCTTTACTTCCTTTCCGGAGGAAAGCGTGATCAGAGATTGTATGCCTCAGAAAAACCCGGCGGTGCCGACTGGGATTGAACCCAGGCTTTTTGGGGTGAGAGGCAACATAACAACTCATATTAATTTATTAGTATAAAAACATAAACTATCTACAATCTACATCTTATATAATTAGGAAATGAATTAATCGTTGCAATTGGAGATTGCTTCATTTTAGGTAAGCTTTTTAAAGCAGGATAATATTGATCTTTCATCTGTAAGTAAGTTCGTTTACACCGATTATAGATTAGTTCATTTAGATACAACTGTACACAAAAGGCAACTAGAAAAAGTTGTTTTGTTTCCATTATTTTTGAAGCATCCTATTTCTGTGGAACTCGTTAAGTGGAAGAGAACAAGTTTTACTAATTACAACACGGTAGGGTAGGAACGTCCCTAGCCCAACCTAGCCGAACAATGGTTTCCCACGTGAAACAACCTTTGACGCGTGTGGAAATTAATCTAGTGGTGCTTGTCTGCCTACATTGTAATGAGCTGAACCCGGTCATTACCGACTAATGATAAAAAAAATGTTTTCCATGGGTATACTTAGGACATAAACTAGCACTCGTGCTAGAAACGATCAAATAATCAGAAGTGGGTTTAACTTTAAAAAACTACATTGCATGAATTTGTATCTTGTGTGGCAAGCACAATGAAACTCTATGCCCAGGGAAGTCGACAAAATTTCCAACCGTTAAGGTCGTCAGCCCTAGAACGATGCCATTTACGTTTAGGTCAAGGCAACTAAAACCCCACCTAGACCGTAGCGTGAAATGGCAGTCCTTGACTCGTCAACCAGATAGCGATTTGATTGAATGAAAAGGTCCTGGCAATTTCGAGAAAGGATTAAAATTTACCTGAATCGGTGGAATTGGTGTTTTACACTTCACCTTGATTCACTACTCGCACTTGGCATTCTGTTAAAATTATACACCGTAGACACTTGTGGTCTACACGCCAGCCTGAGATAAAGTGAACGATGGTCGTTAAGCATCGCAGAACCCGTCAGCCAAGGGGTAAGTCACTCAGCACATTGTGCCGAAATTAGATTCGGCACAGCTTGGGCACATCCATCGGAAAACCTTCGGCACAATCTTGAGGCATTGGATTGTTGTAAATAGAATGTTGTTCACAACATATGCTGTTTGACTGTATATTCAGGAACATCCTCTAATTAAATATATCAGAGAACTCAGACCAGCAGTTCACTTCTCGGTTTACTTATAGATTTACATGTTGTAGCGTGGGCTCGAGAGAAAGAGGCAGTTAATCAGACCCCATTAGAACCCTTAATTCAAATAATGCTACAACCCACACAATTCAATCTACAGAAGTCATATTCATCATCTTCTATATTCGGTCTCCAACAATGATCCCCACCGGTTCCAACTCTTTCCGGTCGCTGATAGACCGTTGCTTTTCACATCACGAAAGGCTAGGTTTGCTGGTTTGCCTTTGAGGGCATTATAAAACCCTAAGGCCGTTCGCAATGCTGTTGTATTTTATAAGGACTGATTCAATTTGAAACTAGAACAGAAACGCACCTCTCGCAATGCTGAGTTGCAGTTTCATTATTCGAGCACTATTTTGCACCAGATTTGCAACTGCTCGACTATTCTGTTTTATTTCTGAGCGAGTTTGAAACACGAATGGAACTCTGTTTCCAATTTCTTTGGAGTGTTTAAAGATGTTTCGAAGAGCTTCACAAACAAAAAACGGAGAACTTCATAGAGAACAGTAAAGTTTATGAAACTTGATGATTACAAACATCTTTTAGAACTGTACGTTGCGCTGATCGTGTTGCAGTTTTAGTTTTGACAGTTTCAAATTATAGAATTGTCGAGTTGTTTCAAACAATTTTGAAACTCAGCATTGCGAACGGCCTAATACCCAGGACTTTTATTATCCTATGAATACAAAAATTTCGCACACAAGTCACTTATCGCGTCATCCTAATCGGCTGGCGAACGAATACTATGAATTTGAACATATTTTTTTTTCTTCACATGCGTCCGACGGCTGTAGTATTCTCGGTATTCTCCGATGTTAATTTCTTTTTTAGACATTACATTCCCCCTTGGTTGCTACTAGACCGATTTATCCTTGCGATTTCAAATCAAAACATTCAAGGTGTCAGAAATACCGGGTTGCCGGGTTGGTTATTTTATAAACAATCGCAGCTGACCGGCACAATCGGTGCACCTGACAAACACTGATAAAAATTATGACCCAATATTGGTGTCCGGAGTGACGTACTCCTTGCCTTCAGCTAATCCCCCATGACTCCGTGCCACCATTTTGCCGCGGCCATGCACGCCTTATTCAGCAATCGGTCGTTAAGCATGGCCGTATCGTCTGCCCAGTGGGTTTTACCGCAAGTGTTATACAAATTCACTTGAAGGCTCGATCACATGTGCAAATTTAAAATACAGGTATACCTCGATATAACGTAACTGTCACTTTTGATTTCCATTTTCAATATCTTCCTAATAACAATTGAATCATACACATTAATATTACCAATAAATGGGGGATTATCCGATGGTGTTATTACTTTGCTTGTTTGAATGATCGTTTGCGAGAAATCGGCGATGGAAGTCAAAAGTGACAGTTCCGTTATATCGAGGTAGTATACATGTATTGTATAGCTCCTTTGTAAAAGAACGGTTACAATTCTTCATCTTAGTTTTTCTTTCTAAACTAAGAAAATTGGTGTTGTTTGTAAATTAGATGCCTTACCCCTCTGACTATGCCCATAATTTAAATGTTAATGGAAGACATATGGAAAATTTGCTAAGAAGATACTCGTTGAATTCACCCCCTTTCAATTTTCGCCACCCCCTCACGACGTCCCTGGTTGATTCTAGCATTTTTTTTGTCGATTCCATTCAATATTAAACATGTTGACTTTATGAGTAAAGTTGTACCTCGATCTCGGTTTGTTCTCAAGTTTTCTTCTTAAACTACGCATCGGATAACTACCAGTGTACTAATGACCTTCAAGAAATTGAGAATCGCGCCAGAATCTTCCCGCTTCAATATAAATATTGTTTTTACGTTTTCGTCCGTTCAAGATATGGATTTCTTCGATCACATTGACGTCACATTAGAGCAGTTCCACGCCAAAGGACGGATCGATCGGACTCGACCTTCGTCGATTTGCCTGACAATTGGCATAATTGTGTGGCATTTGTGCAAAAATTCGGCCATTTTGGATCTCGCATTTTTTTCAAAATGGCTTGTTTTTCTAAAAGTGAAAAAAATTGAAATAACTAAAAATGTCCTTGTTCTGTAAAGGGTGTAAAATTGCATCTCTTAGAAGTACTAGCCAAAAATAAGTCTCTCAACCGATTATCATGACATTTTCAGGAAATGTATTACTATATAGAGGAAATGTCTCTAATGTTGGCCTATGGATCTAAGATTGGGCCCATCGCTAAAAATCTACTATTTATCAATTTTATCTTGATGAACGCGTTATTGAGACGTTACTAATGGATATTTTTGGTTGCTATTGAAAATTTAGTCGATTGCTGAATTTATGTATGGGCCCAAATTAGGGACACTTAGGCCGACATGCATTTCCCCTATAAGCTTAGTTTACGTATCTTTATTTCACTCTATTTCGTCACCAAATGCCCGAACTTTCTTCTTAATTCCACCCATAAGGTTTTGTACAACGGTTGAATCAACATTTTTCTGCTTTCAACCATGATTTCAACATTTCCTCCTCGGTAGTGACAACTTTAAGATGCTTACGAAGTTCGTGCTTCCGCGGTGCGGTTGGGTTATTGAGATCCTTCGGCACGAAATTGACCCCATTCGTTTTGTACCACTCCAGAACGTTCTTGGAGTAGTGACAAAAGGCTAGATTTAGCCAAAACAATTGTAAGAACGTTGTGTGATTTGATAAACGGAAGCTGTCGTTTCTTCAGGCACTCATTCATGTAGACGTGGTCATTTACGGTTGTAGTTGTTACGAAAGGCTTGCCCTGTTTTCCGCACGAACAAATCGCCTGCCAAATCATGAATTTCTTGGGGAACCTCAACACTTGCTGTTTTCTGAGGGGCTCTGGAGCATCAAACTTGTCTTTCGCAGTCACATACTTGGGCCTATTCTGCGCGGCGTGTGAGGTGAGGTGACAGTGAAGTGATGGTGAAGTAACAATTGTCACCTCGGGTGAGGTGACTCTCCATTTGATTTGCACGGAGAG